AAACCTTTAGAATAAATGTGTGGTTTATTCTATCAAAGGCTTTTTGTTGATCTAGAAGCAAGAGCCAGTGAGAGGCAGCCTGGTCTTTTTGATTTCTCATTACTGTAAGAATATTTAAGGCAGCATTTGTGATCGATCTTCCTTTTATGAAAGCTTGTTGTGATTGGCCAATTATTGTTTCACAGATTAAGTTAAATCTGTTCGCCAAGATCTTCATAAAAATTTTGACATCACAGTTTGTAAGTGATAAAGGTCTCCAATTATCTATATTATCTAACCCTTCTGTTTTTTTTGGAATTAGTGTAATAATGCTTTTAGTTCAGGACCTAGGGATGTTGCCTGTTTCTAAGCAAAAATTAAACAGTCTTGTGAGTACTGGAAGATTCTTGTCCTTGATAACCTTGTAGAATTCATATGTAAGACTATCTGAGCCTGGAGCTTTGTTGTTAGGAAGTATGTTTATTATATCAGTAATTTCTTTTTCAAAGACTTGTTTTATTAATGCTGCATTCTGCAACTCTGTTATAGATAGAAAATTATGTATAAAAAAACTTGTGGCTTCTGCATCTATTCCATCATTTTTATATATTGCCTGGTAGGTATCCTTAATGTATTGTAATGTAGAGGTTGGGTTTTCTGCTATGTATTCTTGTGATGGATGTATTTTATCTTTGGCTAATGCTAAGTTTCTTATCTTATACAGAGAAAAAAAAATTTTGTAGATTTTTCTCCTTCCTTGATCCATTTGGCATTAGATCTTGTTTGCCATTTTTCAGAAAGTGACTGGAGTTCTTCTTGTAACTGTGACTTAATGTTTTCATTAGTTACTAGAATTTCATCTGTACTTTCACTATTAGCTGCTTTGTTATTCAGTTCTGTAAGTCTTTTTTGCAGTTTTTGTATTTTCTTTTCAGGAGAAGCTTGTGGTGAAATGCTCTTATTATAGACTGTATTCTACATTTGTACAGGTCCCACTTTGTAAAATTGTGAATATTTGAAACTTCTTCTATTATTTCACTTTTAAGAAGACTGTTATTCCAGCTGTTTTGGGAAAATCTCCATTGTTTGGCTCTAGAAGATGTTGATGTAAGTTGAAGTTCACATTCTACAAGCAGATGGTCTGAGTTGCCAAACTGTGTTGCAATATTCTGACAGCGATAGATATGATTAGCATCTATGAATATATAGTCTAGCCTAGTGGCCATTCTATGATTTCCTTGGGTGTTTTGATAATATGTTAGAAAAGGGTTACTATTATTCATAGTTGTACATGTGTTTACAAAATTTGTAGTAAGTTCTTTGAGTTGTTCTCTTGTAAGGTCATTAGCTGCTAGAGCATGACTAATTCGGTCTTTTTGTGGGTTAAGATTAGTGTTAAAATCTCCTGCCAGTATGTTGATGTATTCCTCTTCATACTGTGGAGTCCAAATATTAAAGAAATATGTTCTATCCACCATGTTTGGTGGTGCATATATATTATTTAAAAGAAATGGTTGTTGCTTATATGTGAATTTTGCTGTGATTACTCAATCCTTATGTAATTCCTTGACATTGTCAAAGTGAATATTTCTGTTTCCTGCTAGTATTGCCATTTTAGCTGTCCAATAGGAACTGTAGTTCCATTGTTGTTGCAAAAAATTCCTTGTGTCTACATTTTCTAAGTTTGTTTCTTGAAGCATGATTATATCTATTTTATATAATTTTAAAAGTATAAGTGTTCTGTAAGCTTTGTCCTTGTTATTTAAACCTTTAACATTTAAGGTTGTGATTTTGATTGATTTAACCATATTTGTTATATATAAGATGTAGTTTAGAACCTGTTAGTCTTTGGGTTAAAGACCTTTGTGTTTACCTTATTGGATTTGTTTTCCCCTAAGATAGCTATTTTGGATTTGTGTTTGTGCTTTCTCTTAGAGATGACTACTTTAAATCCATCAGAATCTTCTTGTTTAGTGTTTGTCAACATTGTAACCATTGGCATATTATTGTATAGAGATGCCATCAGGTCATGAAGACCATTTTCTTGCCATATTTCTTGTGTATTTAATGCAGCTTCCTTTTGTATTGTTTCTTCTGAAAGCATAAGATGTAAGTAAATTTAATATATAGTAATATGAAAAATAATTTATTGTTAATTATCTTCTTTTAATCAAATTTGAATGAAAAGAGTGGTAAAAATGTTCCACCATCTTGAAAAAGAAAAATCGAAAATTCTGCTCTAAAGGATCTTTTCAATGAACAAATAATTACCTGGAATCGAAAGGAATTTGTTAAAGTATGTCAATCTCAAAGTATCCGCCTTGATGATGATGATATTGCCAATACAACCAAGTTAATTAGCTGGTTTGATCATAAAAAGAACAAAACTAAGTCTTTAGCAGTATTAGATTAAAGAATTGGCTTTGTAATTGATGAATATGCAATAAATAAATATATTATATATGTAATAAATAGGCATATATGCAATAAACAAGCAATTTACAGTATTTGATTTTGTGTTTTAAACCAATAACATACTATTTCGAGTAAAATTATAAAATTGTATACAATTGAAAAAAGAATTCTTCTGAATTTAATTTAACGCACTGGTAGTAAGTACCTTTTATTTCATCTTCCCTATAAAAGAGTATTGGTAAGTTTTAGAATTCTCTAATTTAACACACATAGCTTTAAGCAGATTACAAATGATACCTTTTTTATTTATTTATTGAATTTAACACACTAATAGCACCTTTTATTTCATCTTCTCTATAACAAAGTATTGGTAAGTTTCAGATTTCTCTGATTTAATACATATAGCTTTTTTATTTATTTAATTCAATGCATTGGTAGTACCTTTTATTTCATCTTCCCTATAAAAGAGTATTAGTAAGTTTCAGTTTTCTCTGATTTAATGCATATAGCTTTAAGTATATTACTAATGATACCTTTTTTATTTATTTATTTAATCTAATGAACTGACAGCACCTTTTATTTTGTCTGGCCTATAGCAAAATATTTGTAAGCTTCAAGATTTCTCTTATTAAATGCACATAGCTTTAAGTAAATTACTAATGATACCTTTTTTTTAATTTAATTCAATTTATTACACTGGTGGTGCCTTTTTTTATTTTAAAACAACATGCTAATGACACCTTTCTATCTCTTTTTAACACATCTGGTTACAACATCTACAACCACACAACACCTCAACCTTCAACTCCTCAATTTCTACTTAATGCAATGACACCTTCTTAACAAACTGCTGCTTACATTTCTTTATATGAAAGGTTTTTTTTTTCTTATTTTCATTGGGAGAAAAACTTTTTTTTTTCTTTTTATACTACAATTGATTAAAGTTCTATTTAATAATTTGATTGGTTAATGACAATAAAATCGAAAGTGTAAGTTCATGTAATATTGATATGCATTATTGTATCATGTAAAGATCAGCATATGCTTATAAAAAATGGCCTTTTTTGTCAATCACCTGATGAATTAAAAAAAATGAACCTCATGAATCAAAAAGGATGGATTTGCAGAAGTGTGAGAAGGAATTTAGGAATTTCTTTTATTGTATTCTCTTAAAGTTTTCAGTGTTTGAGATCTGCATACACTCTTTTCAGACCACATGCATTTGGAAGTAGAGTGAAACTAAACAGGAAAATAAACTACAACAACAAGACAACCAATCTTAAAAAAGGTTTCAAAGCAAGGGCACTT